GCTTGATTAAACACTGTCGGCAACGAGTTCTGGCCGCACGAGATGGGAAAGTATACAGTGTCGGCGGGGACGCTTGGGCCGTACCATGCAACGCCGCCGATCGCATCGGGCAAGTTTGGTCGGGTTTGGAGCACGGTGCTGTGTGTGGCACGAGCGATCGAGATGGCGCGTTCCCAGTTGCCCGTGAGGTTGCGGGCGTAGCCGTAGCGTTCGGGGTCATGGAAAGGCCCGGCTGCGATGCCTTTGGTCAAGTCATAAGTGGTGTTCTCGTAATGGTCGCCGAAGATATGCATGATGGTCAAGTGCGAGATCGGGGCGTCGGGCTTGACCGACATCGGATACGTCGGCACCTGGGGGTGAAAGCCAACTTCCGGATCCAACCGAAGCGACGGTGCGACTGTCTCGTACGCACGCCACATGCGGCGGCCGCTGTAGAGCGGCTTGTTTGGAGTTCCTCTGTCGTACGCATAGGCGGCGGTGAAATCGAATGGCTTGGATGGAGACGCCCACCCTTGGGCGTATGCGTGCGCCGTCACGTTGTTGGACGCCAAGTAGTTGTCCGAGTCGGTCAAGTTGAGCGTGCGAATGACAAATGTGTTGGGGACAATCGTAAACTGGTCGTCGCCGAGGCGCTGCGCTGCCCAGATTGCACCCGAGTTGTGTGGGCCCGTCAGGATGTGGAAGATCCACACGTTCTGGTACTTGTCGGCAATCATCAAAGCTTCGGAACTCCCTGCATAGCCTGGTTTGAGCTGGTCCATCGAGTACTCGCCGTAGAACCCGTACTCTTCGGCCAACGACCCCATGGTCTTGATGGCACACACGGCAGTGTCGCAACGCTCAAGCGCAATGCGACTCAATTCGCCAATGTTCAGCAAGTTGCGACCGTTCGGCATGTCCAAGGGGTATCCAACCGTTCTGGCAGCGCATGTCGTTTCGGCAATGCTGAGCTGGACCTCGTTTTGCATCCCGAAGTCGCCGTCCCAGTACGCATACGTGGAATTCACTTGAGGGATGTACCCCATCGGTGTCGTGACCGTTTGGTTGGACCCGTCCACCGGCATGTAACCCGGACCCCGTTCTGCCGATACGAATCGAGGATAACCGTGGTGCAACTCGTCGTTGTACACCGGACGCTTGGCACCCGGTGCGTGCTTCATTGCAGGCACACGGACGAGGCGAAGGTCGACCGGTGCCGCCACGCTGTCCATGGTGGTACCAACGATGGCAGAGCCATCAAGGGTAGCTTTCGACCCAGCTCCAAGAAGGGTGCACGCTGTGGCAGGCGACGTGAATAGAATCGTGGCGACGGCCAGCAACTTCGAACGAGGCATGGCTGTGAATCTCCAGGCTGTTGTTGTCCTCTCGAGCGAAATTTTGAATTTTTGAGTCTTCGGGCGAAAGTACTCCGGAGTAAAATAAGTGAAACGATATGATTGGCTGATGAAAAATGCCTGCTGAATACAGTACTGGTACAACAGTTAGAGACGAGGAAGGAGAGGCGCCATCGATTTGGCCGTGTCCTCAAAACATGCGTTTTGGGGTGTCTGCCCTTGACTCTTCATGCGAATTTTCGTGCTGGGAGTTCTGGGAAGACGTGGAGTTCCATGCTGGTGGTGTCCATGCCGCGGATCGAGAGTTGCTCGTGTGTCAAAAGTGTGTACATGTCGTCGGATCTAGCCAATCAAATGTAGTCGTCGTTGAATTGACCAATCTGATCGCTTCTTGATCCTGATTCGATTGCGCAAAGTTCCAAAATTGTTTGAAGCAAAACGATATCAATATTCGAAGAGTATTGTATATCCCCATACTATCGTCATACAAAAAAATTCGAATGATAACATTAGCTCTTTTTCAAAGTATGTTCATTACAACCGGGCGACGCTCGGCAGTCAGTGCTTCGTCCTGCGTGCTGCGGCTGTACTTCGTGAGTCCAGTCGTCACATTCGTACGCTGCCCTTCGTGTCCGGATTCAGCAGGGAGGAGTGGCGAATTTCGAGGCTGACACGACTCTGACGATGAACCCACAACCAGAGGGACATCACCCTGATACTCAACTGAGATACAACCCCCCCATCGTCGGAACACACTGCTTTTGTAGAGGAGAGGGTTGTATCTAGGTTGAGCATCAGCATTGCGGTGACGAGAGAGTGCGACATGGACGACGAGACATTGCCTCCTTTCCCCCCTTCATAGACCGACAGCTCGAATATATACCAAGTCGAATTGTTCACATCGTTGGTTCGACAAAGTAGCGATGATTGCAGTGTGTGTAAACCAAAGTTCCCCTTCCACAACCGGCTAAAGGTTACGCGCAAGGTGCACGTCTGACGCTGTACCAAGGACTGTACCTCATCGAACGAATTGAAAGTGTATGAAGTATGCATGTGGATGCTGGACGTACTGTGAGGTGGTCGGGACGCTGGGGGGTCTAGCTTGTAGTCACACAATCCCGCGACGATTCAAATCCGTTGATGGTGGTCATGTAACGTCGACATCCCCTTCGATTGGCCAACTTCGTCGTATGTCAAGTTCTGATTGGTGCATTCTTCGACCTGGAGTCGTTGGAACCGTCTGGAGCATGCAAGGTGCTTGGATTGCCGCGCTGGCGGTGGCCACCTCAACGTTGGCATGCACCCCACTTCGCTGCCGGCCTCAAAGGCAACTGTAGATGGGTCTGCGATGGTTGGCTTCACTTGGAATATCATGGCCTGTCCAGTCGACCTTCGACTGGTTCGTGTTCCAGCCATGACCCCCCTCCGTTTGTCGCCATGCGGGCAGTGTCCAACGACGCCGTGGACCACGGCACACCTCGCTTCGTATCGACCGAACGTGGTTTTGGCTACAAGCCTCTGGGCAAACAATCTCTCTCCACGCCGTTGGGGTACATTTCCCAAGTGAACTCGACGTACGCGAACTGGGACCACTCCCACGGGATGAACGAGTGCAGCTCATATTTGGCTAGACCATGTGCCGCGTATCCACAATGAAATCAAAACAGAACGCTCCAAGTACATTTATGCAGCTCTGGACTTGCAAAACGACACCGAACGGCCTGCCGAGCGCGCAACTTGGACCACGCAGGACTGCATCGCCCAGTTGGAATCGTTCAACGAGTTGACATCAGGGGGACGCGTCATTGCGGACTGGGCCAACCAGACCGACTACGTCTTGTATCCGCAATACTACAACCCGCCGGCCCAGGTGGCGATCGAAGAAATCATTGCTGCTGCCGTAGACACCGAGACGGGCGTGGCGTCCGTGTTGGTCGGCAGCTCCAAGCTGGACGAAGAGTATGACCTGCCGAGCGGATTCGTCGTTGGGTTTGTCTGCGGCACCATGTCCCTGTCGTTCTTGGTTGGTATTATTGCGTTAGTGTGTCACGTGCGGGAAGCAGGGGCGTCGGGTAACAAGACGGTGGCCACCGAGTCGGGCGAAGCCGACCGACTATCATGATCGACGTTGCCGAAGAGCGCTTGTGTGCAGTTTTGAGTAATATACGAAGCATGACCATGGGAGGGAGATCAGGGAATAAGGCAGTTCCCTGGAGCTTGAAATTGATATCAGCACCGTCGGCACCAGGAAGAAATGCCCTTCAGCCTCCTCGACTCGTATCACAGCACCAGTACCATTCAGTATCGCTAAGTATTGTCCATGTTACCACCGCAGAGGCATTCACCGATCATTTTGGCTCACATGCTACTTCCTCTCACTTCATGCCACTTCGGACTTTAGAACTGGACAAAGTGCAAGCCCACCCACTGGCTTGCCTCTGCATTTGATACACGTGGGTGGCGCGCTAATCCCAGGGCAGCACGCAACCATGGTGGAGCTGCACCTCGCTGACTGTCCATGACGTGGCACTGCCACAACAGTCCGCGCCATCTTCCATCGTTGGATTTTGTTGCTGGTTGACCTGTCTCTCAACCGGATAATGGGCATACAATCGCGTAGTTAGGCGGTATCCGGATGTCGCCTCGATTTCTTCTTTCAATCACATTTCAATCGGCCGCCGCCCCCCCGACAAACATGTTCATCAACCTGATGATGTTTTGGCTCATGTGCGTGGAAGGCCTGATTTGTATCCTTCTGTGCATCCCTTTCTTCAAGCATGCGACACAAGCCGTGGTCACCTTCCTGTCGTCGAATGTGTTCACTCCTAAATCGCATCTTACAACTGCCGGGTACGTCCCAGCGCGCCAGTGTAATCAATCGCCTCATGAGGCGGTGACGCAGATATGGCATCCTTGCCTTGGTTTTCATCATGTTTCTTGGTACGTCAAACTCTCTCCCTTTAGCTCGAAGGCATATGCCCGCGTGCTTCATCCATCTCGGGCAGGGGTGACATGTTGTGGCTGTAGCCAACTTGCAAACCACGTACAACCATCATATGTCGGACGAAGCCATGAGCGATGGTTTCCGCATTCGATTGCTCGCGGCCCAGCGTGATATGTACATTTCGGGTATTTGTTTGTTTTTGAACTTGCTGTTGCAAATGCTGTACTCGAGCATGGTGCTCAACATCAAGCTCGAAAAGAGCTTGGGGGCGATGGAGAAGCAAGCAAAAGGTGCAAGCTCGAGCTACACAAAGCTGCTGGAAGAGCACGAAATTGTTCAAAAGCAACTGAAGAAGCTTGTCGGGCTCGATGGCTCGACCGACATGACCACGTTGGAAAAGCTGCTAAAGGAAAACGCCACATACGAAACCGAGTTGGCGACGCTGAAGAAGACCGCGGCCGCCAGCGAATCGGCGATTGCGCAGGTGAAGAAGCAAGCGGACAGCCAGAGCGCCGCCTACATGAAGCTCCTCGACGAATCCACCGCCCAAGCAGACCAAGCCAAGGAAGTCATAGATCTTCATGCCCAAGTTCTTGAATTGAAGAAAACGATCAACGACGTGACCAAAGACCGCGACGCACTCAAGAGCCAAATTCAAGACTACGACTTTATGTTTGCTGAAGCGAAGAAGAAGGCGGAGTAGGCACATGACGTGGCAATTCTGTAACAATTGGACATGTTGCACTGCTCTGTCGTTTGAAGTGCATGCATGATGCACTCATGCGCTCAGAGATGGATAACGTGGATGGAAGACAAAGATGAGGTATGGGTTTTGCATCATGGGCAATGAGTACATCACAATTCGTCCGTTGCTGCCCTTACTCTCCACGGTCCGTTTTCCTTTGGATCAAACGATCCATCGTAGCACTTGTCGTTCCGTGTGGAAGAGTGGAAGCATGTGCATTGTGTACTCATGCACCCCATCGTCCATCGCGTAAACGTCGAACGAATTGCCTCTGGTGTACTCCTTCGTACTCCCGTCGTCCCTGCCATCCCGTCTGACGCGGCGCCCTACGTTCAAGTATGACTGTGCCACGTGTTCTATGAAAGCACGGACCCCCACTTTTTTTTTCACAGTGGATAATATGAGCTGACCATCCATACAAAACGCCAATGAAAACAATTTTTGTGTAAAATAATGCGAAGGATAATACCCAGCATGTCGCCACACACGATATTCGGCATACTCGACTTCTTGACCTAGGCAACACAAAGATGCGAGTTCTGGCCGCGTTCCTTGCTTTGGCTGCTGCTGCCGTGTGGGGCGCAAAAGTTCCTTCGTTGAGCTTCGAGAAGCCTTTCGAGGATATCACGTCTGATGGCGTCCGCATAGTCTCGGATGACTTTACTTTTGGTGGCCACACCGTCGTAAACAAGCACTTTGTGCGGTTGACTACTGACCGTCAAAGCAAGCGCGGTTTTGTGTGGAGCAAAGCAACCCTTGGCTCTGCTGGCCTGACCAAGCAAGAATTCTCCATCGTGTTGACGTTTCGCATCAGTGGGCAAGGGGAACGTTGGTTTGGCGACGGGTTGGCGTTGTGGGTTACCACAGAACCGCGCCATTCCGACGGCGAGAACCATGGTTTCAAGGAGAAGTACACTGGGATTGGGATCATCGTTGACACGTTCGTAAACGACGAGCAAGCGGGTGGACACAAAGACGTGACGTTTGTCGTGAACGACGGCACCAAGTCCCTTGACGACATCAACTATTCGCCCGATGGCAAGAAGGGTTGCGATGCGAAGAATATGCGATACCATGCCAAGAGCGCGACATTCTCTGCATCGGGCAGCATGTCCCGCGTAAAGTTGTCGTTCTCAAACAACTACGTGAACGTCCACATCGACCCGACCAACTCGGGGTTTTGGTCCCCATGCTATGAAGACACGATCCAGATGCCGTCAACGTGGCTCTCGCAAGCGACACTTGGCGTCACAGCATCCACGGGGTCGCTCGCTGACACGCACGACTTGATTGCGCTGGAGTTCTATGAGTACGGAAGTCTTGATGGCCGTTCGGCGACTTGACGTACTGTTTTCGCGTAGCACGATGCACGACGAGGCGATTTTGCAAAAGGATTACGCGACAGTGGCCGAGAAAGCTCGTACGACGGACCTGAATGTGCCGTTGGCTGATGAATTTCGTGTAGCGCCTGCGTCGACTGACCACATCGAAGACAAGGACGAACGCAACCTGATCAAGATCAAGGAGCTCCAACGTCTATACGACCAAATGGTCGAGGACTTCGAGCACGAGTACCAAGCGTTGAAAGAAGAGACGGCCAACACCGTTGGCAAGCTCCGCCAGCAAGAGCAGGACGACTTGCGGCGCATTGAACAGCTCGAGGAATGGGTCAACAGCCGCGTACGTTTGGTGATGGACCGTGCGATGAGGAGTTTCACTCATGTGTTGAATCGATGCCAGGTGGACGAGAAAGTCGGGTCGAAGGTGCAGGAGATCGAAGAGACCGTGGACAAGTCACTCAAGTCCAAACTCGAGGAAACCGAAGTGTCCAGTGGCGGGTGGAAAATCCCGTTTGTCATCCTCGTCCTGGTCTTGGGCGGTGGTGTCGCGTTCGCGTACACGAAGTACCAGGAATTGCGAAAGTCGCATTTGCTATAAATGTTGTAACAATCGATTTCAATGCGCATGTCCATAGACACCAACGAAGGGTCAGCCACACACAGTGCGGCGTGTTGCCGGTCTCAGGAGCGCTTGAATCTATCCGCCTGCGGTTCACAGTGAACTCGACGGCAACGCGTTGTACTCGCGAGCATATTGAAGCTGGTGAGCATCACATGCACCCATGTTCTCTCTCGAGTGAGAGAATTCATGATTCCAGCAAAATCTCCTGTTGAAAATACTATGTTTGCATGTATGCAGTATGCAATTTTTTTCCTTGACGAGGACTTTTTCTCCAATTAAGAGTAAAAGGATACTTTACCGTATTTGTCATGCGTGGATGAAAAAGACCTACATAATTTTATAATGGCATATATTGAATTAAGAAGTTTCCTGCTCTCTTGAGTTGCCTTTGGAATACTGATTTCCCTCTGAGTACGGGCAAGAACTATAAATTTACACAAAATATTATTTTTCACACGTACCAATTATCACAGTTATTGATGGTGGCCAAAGAGCTATGCGAGATGCAGTTCAGCCACCTGTTCACCAAAGGCAGAGAGGTCGCCATCGACAATGCCGGTGCGAGCCCAGCAGTTCACAACAGTGAGCTGGGTCACGGATCTCCAAGCCTCCTTTGCCCAGGTCATCGCTTCGTCCAAAGGTACCTCGTACAATCGTTCTTGTCGTCCTCTCATGACCAAATCGATTTGATCCAAGGCATTCTGCAATTGGTGCTGCTTGACCTTCGCCTTGAAGGCCGCGATGATACTGGCGTCTTGGGGTTGCAGGTGCGAGGTCGTGTTCTTCGGCAAAATTTGAATCTTGACATTGTCGTCTTCATCCAGCGAATGAGAGGATGCATTGTCGACAAGCAAGAGGATCTTGCGGTCCTCTTCGACCATTCGTTTGTTCAACGATGTCAGGTACGAATTGAATATCGTGCCGGGCATCCAGCCTTTCTTACTGGCATGATAGTTGAAATCAAGGTCTTCAGCGGAACGGCCACGAAAACAACGCGGGCGAGCTGCCGTGCCATTGAACAGTGGGTCGATATGGTTGGATCCATCGGAATTTGTGGTAAGGGCGATGGTTATCCGCTTTTTTGACTTCTTCGACCCAGGAACGCGGCTTCTGGTGATCGAACGATGCGGCGACATGCAGTAGAAGTACGCGGATTCATCAATGTTGTACACGTTTTTTGCGTTGTAGGCGCCAGTGACGTTCAACATTGCTTTGCGGCCTTGACGCACAATTCTGGTTTCACCGACACTGCTTCTCCGTGTTGGGTCTTGCACGAGAGACCATGCCTTTGCTGAATTTTGCAGAGCCAGCCTTTCGAAAACGTAATTGTTTGGGCCGACGGAATGTCAAGTTCACGGCAATAGGCCTGGGCTTGCTTGCGAATTAGTTCGCCAGTAATACACACACCGGACGCAATGCACGTTCCTTGCACAACGCGTGCTTGTCTGCCAGGGTCATGCGCTTCTTCACCTTTCCACGGGCCGACATGGCAATCAAAGTTCAAATGTTTCAAAGGACCCCATAACTCTATAATATAGATTTATAAAAATTATCACATTTGAGCCGTTTAGAACTCAGAGGGAAATCAGTATAGTAAAAATCAGGCTTAAGGAGTTGCATTTGAATTCCAAGGTGGCGCGAAGTTAGCATGTCACCGACACATAAATCCACACTGCACTGAAAGCGACGGGAAGACCTGTGGTCAAAAACCGCAGACGTATTGGTCCTCCACAGCATCATAGACTGTATTTTACATACGCCAAGCAGCTTCACATTATCAATTGGAGAAAAGAGCACTCTATGGACTCCACACTTGACTGCTTCTTTGGCGGGACTTAAGGGACTGCACGACTGTCCGCAAAAAAAAGAGTGCTCCGGTGTGAAAGCAATCGCGCTCATATAACGAAGAAAGCTAGTAATCCTGCTACCGCGTCGCAAAAGAACTAGACACCACATTAGTGAACGAGTTTGAGATTGAGATATGTGATGCAACTAACATGTTGCTTGTCATCAACCTTGCATTCCCCTTGTTTGCGTTCTCACGCGCGACGCCTTGCACACCCATGGAGAGAGATGAGTGCCGGTATCCGGTGCAGCATATCAGTGGGCGAGGTCGAGGCGGTCCCATGACTACTGCGCGCGGCCCTTTTGGCACTGCTCCCCATGGGGCACTACGTCGGCAGAGCCCATGAACTTGAGGCAGTGAGGTTGCTGAAGACGGACTTACTTCTCGCGTGCCAGCGCTACGGAGTTGAAGTTGACGTGAACGATTTGAAGAAGACAATATGGTCACGGCTCAAACCTGTATTGGCAGCTCGTGTGGACCCGGTTGTCGTGACCATGGCGCATGCACGTGGGCACAACGTGGTCTACCCTCGATCTTCAACCTATTGAAATGGTCTGGTCAAAAGTAAAAGGTGACGTTGGAGTGCAGTATACCGTCGACACGACCTTTTCGGATGTCCGCTCTCGCCTTGACGTGGCTTTTGCGATGCTGCCACCAACAATTATTTGAACTGTGTTCATCATTGTGAGAAGCTTGTGAGAAACCTGTATGATTTGCTCGTTACCATGAAGTGGACAATGTTGATTCCTCCTCGTCGGAGTCGTCTACTGGACAAAGTGACAGTGATACGGAATAACTTTCAAATGTAATATTTCCATTGTAAAATAATATCCAGTTTTCCTCTCAATTTTATTTCAAACTCTACCTTTGAAATACAATAATGTCAACGAACCCTAATCTCGGTCCCCTCGATGCCTTCGCGGACTGTGAAGAGTGAGCTAAGTAGTTTCTGTCCTTTGATGTGTGTGAAACGACGTGTGAGCCCAGTTTATCTTAAAAGCTTGATTTCCTCTCACAAGTAATTACCGTAGTTCTTTTGTTAAGTGGGAACTTATGAGACATGCTGAATAGATGAAGTTGAGTAAAACCTCCATAATTTCATTGCATAGCAACGAAATAGATTATTGATTTACAAAGAGTATAAGTAAAAAAAGGGAATGTGTGGGCTTGTTTCAATTCAAGGAGCAGGTATAGGTCATACAGTTTAAAAGTAAATTCCTTTCAAGAGTGTTTATTTATTTTCGGAGCCTTGAAATAGCATGTGGAATAGATGACGTAGAAATAGCACAAAATTCGTGTTGGAATCATTTCTCACTTTCCGATTTGACCCATGGACCCCATCCGGATATGATCCGAATAAAAAAATATGGCTGCTGCTCATGTATGAGTGTGAATTGGCGTTACTGTACGGAAGTCGGTCAACAGGGGGTGTTACAGTCAAATGGCCAGCGCTCCCAGTAGCCTTTGGGACCGCCCTTGGGCCTCGCCCATTGGTTTTGCCGGGCCGGATACCGGCAGTACACCTTGGCCTTGGTATTCCGATGAGTCCCTGAGCAAATGGCACTCATACATGGGCAGTGGTCAATCAACATAAGGTAAGCTTCAGCCTTGTTTTCGCCCTAATCAATCATCTTGTACGACTTCTAGGTCGTTCTCAACATCAACGTCAGGTCGCAGTTCGGTCAGCTCCATGGCCCCCCTTTGCTGTACAGAGTGTAGTTAATTGAGTTGTCTCTCGCAGAGTTCATAATACAGAGCTTGTGTGACATGGTCAACGTGGCTGTTTTGTACAATGATGTCGTTCGAGCTGTGTTCTTGATAGATGGACGTCCTGTTGCTTTGCGATGACCGCTGCGCTCCATGGTTTAAAATCCCGCGCAAAGCACCTCAAAATATTCTTTCAAAATCGATATTTATTTAATTTTAAGGTTGTTTCGCCTTGCTGAGGTTCTTGTGAAATTGCATATGTGAAAAATACATGTTATAGAGTTTCCAAAGTTCTCACTTAACAAAAGAACTACGGTATCTGTATCAAAGCATTTGCCATGGTTTAACATCCAAAGGCGTGATTACTTCAGGAATACTGTGCAAAATAATAACCTTTCGGTTTAGAGAATTCTGTTTTTTGCTATTGTGTGAAGCTATGGAAGTTAATCGTCAATGGGGTCATGTGCCTCGTCACATTTATTCACACATGACAAATGAGGTAAAGTACAGTAATGCCGTAGATTGCGGATCTATTAGATGAGAGTTCAAATCCTTCTAAGGATATTCTTTATGGAGGTTAATCGTCAATGGGGTCATATGCCTCGTCACATTTATTCACACATGACAAATGAGGTAAAGT